GCGTCGACGAAACGAGTTTCGTCGTCCAGCCTTTCTTCTCTCCAATTCGCTACGCATTTCTTTTTATTGGCTCTGTATCTCATTCGCCCTTTCGAACTTCCCTTATAATAGTCGTTGATCGAACGATCGTCGTTGATTGAATTTTTCAGAGTTACGTTACAAATTAGGGCACTCTTTTTAATAGTTATACAAATAGGATACTTTTTACTCCACCTTCTTCTTCTGGCGAGTCCGTAAGGAACAAGTTCTATCCTTGCCCCGGTCAGGTTGTAAACCCTTCTTCTGACAAATTTTAGTTTATGTTTCGGCTCGTCCCAGACAGCCTTCTTTGGTATTTTCATTCTGGTTTCCATGATACGCAAAATGTTTCCTTCCAATCTAAAAAAAACTGACTTTGTACGTGCAACGTGATAATCGTTTGGTTCATAATTATAGGGCAGTTCATTTAACCAGCCTTGGAACCTCTCGATCACGGAATGTTCTTCTGCCGCTGGGATTTCTAGAACAGGTATCATCGAACTGGGGACAAACTTCTCCTCTGGCAAGGTTGTCAATAGTCTTTTGAGCTTCGTTAATATGCTGTAAAAGGTAACTGTCGTGAAGGTACCCATTATAAATCCAAGTAAATATTCTGGTAAAGGAGCTATGTAACAAATAGAAAAAATGGCAATGAAAATGGCAACAGACTTATACGTTGTTCCAAAGAATAACTGTTGAATAGAGTGTAAAAACGATGTTTTCAAATCTATCCGTTTTGGAAATGCGGTCAAACGCATGCACGAACGATGTTGCAAGCTAGCATAGTTATCCTCGTTAGACGTTTTCGCCGCTGGACGATCATCTTCTGGGCAGGAAACAACATCTTCATTAACGGTTTGAGCAAATTCAGAAGCTTCAATGCCACTCTCTACGCTGTCGTCTTGTAAACTTTTGTCTTTTAAACCAGTCTTTACGTCGGAGAAACCTACGTATCTAACCGGGTTACCTCTTTGATGACGGCTGATTATCGTCGTCATTGTTGTCGTCGTTGTCGTTGTTGTCGCCGCGCTTGATGTCTCGTCGTTCACTCGTTTACCTTCGACATTTTTTTCGCTAGGAGTAATGCATCCGTGATCCTCTAAATCGCTAATACTTGAACTTTCTGCTTTAGAGTGACGCCGTTTCTTTTTGTCGCTCTTTATTTCGGACAATTTCTCCTCAAACGTTTTTGTTATTTTTCCTTTTATATCTGAGAATACTTTCCATGGGTCTAAAGACGGTGGAGTACCTTCCGGTAATACATTCTCTGTACCGACAGATCGTGTATCAGGATTATTTTCCGAAATATCTGATTCGTTTACAGACCTCTTTTCGATGCATTTCGGCGAAATTGAGGTTACTTTCGTATCAGTTGGGTCAAATTCTGGAGTCAATCTCTTCTCCTCCTCAGAACTCGGATATATTTCTTCCAATTCATCGTCGCTGGCATGATAATGAATCACAGGAACAGAGGTCGTAATGGGTTTACCTGTTCGAGGCAGAAACAATAAAATATACACATCAATCGTGTATACAATGTACATACATGTTGCGTCGTGATCACAGATACATTTTACATATGTTCGTTTATTGATTTAATTTTTCTCACCTTTTATCATGGCCAACGTCACTTTTCTCGGACTGTGCTTCGTGTTCATGATTACAAAATGTTTATTTCGATGATCGATCAATACGCGAACATTATGGAATAATTAAAACAACGAATTTTGGTTATTTTGTATATGTATACGATCAACGCGCGATATTGCGTTGAAATTACACGAAACCACCATGATCGTCAATAATGATCAACAACAATCGACAACGATGACATGTCCGCGTCTTTTATCGACGCGTAATCTTCAGGTTGTCTTTTCATGCGTGTTTAACCACACACGATGAAACACAACAAGACTTATTAAGATATTATGCGTCAAATTTTATGTCCAATTTCTTAAATACGTATATCTTTTACAAACTCTAAGCGTAAGGTTATAAAGACTATAATGTAATATTTAATCAAAACTATCAAATTAGTAGTAATATCCTAAGCCCTGTTCCTATGTGTTTCATAGATGTCATCAATGTGTTTGTTCACCAATACAAAGCGCCTTAAACTTTGTATACAAGGTCATCCATATATTTCCGGATTCTGAAGTTGCAGCATTTAATATGGCAACAGTGATTATCACTATATTCAAATGCTAACCTTGCCCGCGAAATTGAAATACAAGATAGGACATTCTAATACATATAAAACTATTTAATACATCTTAATATTCGTATAAAACATTTTAAAACTATGTAATATTACTTTTTAAAGTATACAACTGTATAATATGTTGAAAAACTCAATTTTTTAAGGTACGACATTTCAAATTTAATTCTGGCAGTTTCCATTTTCTACCGCTAGATGACTAAGCATTTTGAAGTCCACGAAATAAATTCTTTTTATTTTTCGCATATTAAGTCTTGAATTTATTCTGAAATCATTTCCCTAATTTTATTGTCATCGTAGAACAATTTGCGAGCATAAATAAAGCGTAAAAATGCTTTATTTTACGGAAAATCGCAATTTTAGACTTCGATAGTTTCACGTTTGACCACTAGATGGCATTAGTGGTACTATTTTTCGAAAGTTCGCGCGTAAATATAAATTTTTAAAAACATTTAAAAATGAAACATTTAGAATTCATTAACAGCCTATAGTTAATTTCTTATCAGAAAGTGTTTCTACAAGCTTGCTTTTACAACTGAGTATTTATTTAGAAAGATTGTATTGCATATAGTTCAGTGTAGATTAGGTATTACTCATGTAATGAATGCAGGGACTTTTTTTCTCTAATCGCCATTCACTCTAGGAAAGCCAGCTTGCACTTGAGTAGGCAAATACACAACTATTTTATTTAGTTCCCCACCTGTGGATAATGACACTTTTGAAGATAGTTCGAATAATATTTGTGTGCGGTGAATTCGAAAATTAACCGTGTAAAAATTAACAGATACACAGATGGAATAATGATGGTTGACGTGGATCTAATTAATATATATGTACATAATGATATATTCCCATATCAAAACACTTGAAAATTGTACTTTTGTGTTTTGTAGGCGTATACATTACACACACATACATGAAGCATGTAATTGTATCATTGCGCGAACACACATGAGCCACGTGTCTATGACGTTACCGTATTTCTTTGGATTCATGCGCGACGCATCGCTCAAACATTATTTACCACGAGTGAAATACTAAGATTTTTTACGTCATTTGAAATCGTTGCTTCTTTAACATGGATTATAAAACATTGCAGTCATGTTTTCGACATAAATAGACGTGTTTATATACATATATGCAATATGTATATGCATGCATGTGGGTACACATAAACTCCGCATTGTTTTCGTTTGAAACATTGTGCCGTGTGATGTTTGGGTTTACAATGATTATTGTTTTGGATCGTAATCTTACACGCATGGATGGCAGCGTTAAGTTTTGTCAAACTGACAGTAATATTCAACACGATATTACAGTGTTATATACATGGCAAAACAAATTAAGGTTTACGATCAAGACTACCGAAGATTCGTAAGGATCATTAGCGTTGGAACAATATGTACAATCAAATGATTACTCATTGGAAGAAAGTATTTAAATTATGAAATATTGTCCTTTGTATGCATAAACCTTGGATCTCCTTTTCGAAGGGTGTTGGATTTTAATTTTCTTTATTTAAAACCAATTGACAATCTGTTTCGTTAACAATGAGATTCAATTTACTTATATCAATTCTTTTGATGACCACTACTTTGTATGCCTCTGTTGTCGAAGAAAGCGAGGAATCGGGACCACAGACAAATCATGTTCAGGCATCCTTGGAACAAGAAGTATATAGATTTATGTTCTTCGATATATCGATAATAAGACTTCTGGTAAACTTATTAGAAATTTTTCTGTAGCACGAACATAGACAGTATACAGAATTGATATCCGAGCAAGAAGATCCTCTGTTGATGTTTTCTACTTTGGATGGCTTTCTTATTGGCATAGAGCAACGTTCCGGAAAAGTGCTTTGGCAGCAAAGAGATGGTACTGTTAATAGGTACAATTAATAGAATAGCTCTTTTGATTTTGTATAGTAATACTTCTCTATATTTGTTACAGAACCTATTGTTAAAGTACCGCTTGATTTGGCAACAACTTCTACGTATGTATTTTTACCATTATTCTGAAAGTATATTATTTGTTTTTCACTATATAACTTCTTTGTTATAGGCCTATGTTTTTACCTGATCCAAAAGATGGTTCCTTGTACATATTTGGAAAAGAAACCGAAACTCTTAAAAAGCTACCATTCACCATTCCACAACTTGTAGCAAGTAGTCCTTGCCGTAGTAGCGATGGAATATTCTATACCGGTAGAAAAATTGATACTTGGTTCGGAGTTGATCCGCGAACCGGGGAAAGGGAGCAAATTCTTGGATTTGATAAGGTTAAAAATACTTGTCCTCTCGAAATGCAGAATGCAGTTTTTGTTGGACGTACCGAATACAATATCATGATGGTAGATAGCAAACAAAAGAATCGCAAGTGGAACGTTACATTTTACGATTATTCTGCTACGAAGATGGAATCCGATGGAATAGAAGATTATGGTATAGTAACGATCTAATAGCGATCGATGTATAAATCACGTAACATTATCTTCGTATTACAGAATTGGTACATTTTACAACGAGTTCGACCGGACGCATTGTTACCGTGGATAGAAGATTGGGAGTCGTTTTATGGGAACTCGATGTACAGAGTCCAGTAATAGCGGTGTACATTGTAGAAGAAGGTGGATTACTAACAGTTCCTTTTACCAGCGTCGCGGACGAAACTTTGGATTTGCTTCTGAAACGTTTTGCAAAGAAACCAAGCGACATTCAGTTATTGTCAGTAAAGGAAACCTGTTACATGGAAGGTAAACTGTTGAACTGCTCGATTAATTTCTCCTTTTTTTGGTAGTCCAATGTTGTACATCGGCCAGCATAGACACGGATTGTATGCTTTACCTTCTCTCGTCGATTCGTCAACGGCTACGACGGGTGACACTGGACAATTGCTGCTCGAAGGTCCGTTATCGGTCCCTCGGTTAAGCGAAAACAGTGACAAGAATGATCCTTTATCGAACGATCGCATACGTGTCACCAACACCGATACTTCTACTCAAATGGAATATCAAACCGCTATACGTTTAGGTACCGACAAATGATAAATAAAAAAGAAAGAATCAATTTACCACATATTAATACTGTTAAATCTAAGTACTCTGTAGCGAACGACTTACCTTGACACTCTTTATAAATCTTGAAATAGGTTATTACGAAATACCGGCTGAATATAAATTACAAGATCAACAGCCGCTTCAAATTACCGGCCGGTCCGATCCCGTGATTGAAACATTGCCTCCACGGTTCTTGAACACAACGAGAAAACCATCTTCGTTTGGCCTGCAAGCCGATCATGAATCAAACAATGACGTGACCAGCAAATCTTGGCACGAGATGCTGCGGAGTACTTACACCACCAGCAAAAGTTGGTTTAGCCAGCAAGAAAATAAAGGACTAAAATTAACATTGGTCTTATTGCTAGGATGCATACTAGTAATGTTTTGGTATTTGAACGCACAATTTAAAGAATTTCAACAACTTTCACAGGTATACAATGTTCTATATAAGTAAAGTGTTTTTAGAAACTCAATTGGTTTATTAAGCAATCAATTATCAGCAGAGTTCCCGAGGGAGCAATAGAAGCGTTGATTATTATGGATCAAACGCGTTGCTCGCAGTCGCAGAGGACATGGGCGAAGGAGTAGTGAAAATTGGAAAGATAACTTTTGATACTAGCCAAGTTTTAGGCAAAGGATGCGAGGGAACGTTCGTGTATAGGTAAGTAGAGGTAACTAGGATGATTTTATCCTTGGTTATTTTTAAATAAGGACACGATAGGTCGTTGAACGTTCTGTTTCTTCAGGGGTGAGTTCGACGGCCGTTCAGTGGCGGTGAAGCGTTTATTACCGGATTGCTTCACCTTCGCTGATCGAGAAGTGGCGTTGCTCAGAGAATCAGATGCCCACGCGAACGTGGTGCGATATTTCTGCACAGAGCAGGATAGAATGTTCAGGTACATCGCTTTGGAATTAGCCGAAGCGACCGTGCAAGATTACGTTGCCGGCAAATACGATAGGCGGAAGATATCCGTGAAGAGTATTTTGCGCCAGGCAACGGCGGGTCTGGCTCATTTACATTATCTCGATATAGGTGAGAATTTGAAGTAATTAATATCTGATACATGAATGACACTTTCCAATTCAGTCGTTTAACATTTTCTGATCATTACAATTTTACGACAGTGCACAGAGACATCAAACCACACAATGTGCTGCTGTCGACGCCTGGACCACGCGGAGAAGTTAGAGCCATGATATCCGATTTCGGCTTATGCAAGAAACTTCAACTAGGTCGTGTGTCATTTTCGCGTAGATCCGGTGTAACTGGAACGGACGGTTGGATCGCACCAGAAATGCTAAACGGAAGCAGAACAACTTGCGCCGTGGACATTTTTTCTCTTGGCTGTGTTTTTTATTATGTTCTGTCCGATGGAAAACATCCGTTCGGAGATCCGTTACGACGACAGGCTAACATTCTTGGTACGCGTCATATAACCTATACTTTTGCATGTTATCTTTCATATCTAGAAAATTATCTTCTTCCTTTATAATCATAACATCTCATATTCGATATGATAGGTGGAGAAAGCGATTTATCGGCTCTTCACGATGGAATCTCCCAAAGCGATAAAGAACTGGCGTTAGTGCTTATTAAAGCCATGATCTCTAGTAATCCATCAGAACGACCGCCTGTTACGGCCGTTCGTGATCATCCGATATTTTGGGAGTCTGTCCGAGTTCTTGGATTTTTCCAGGTATTCTAACTGATAGTTATCTTTACGTCATATAACTTATCACTCACTGTTTGTAAACTTTACTCAGGACGTAAGCGATCGTGTAGAAAAAGAGCAGGCTGATAGTCCGGCATTGATTGCGTTGGAAACCGATAACCATCGCGTTGTACAGGGAGACTGGAGGCTTGTGATCGACGTACAAGTTGCAACAGATCTTCGAAAATATAGAAGTTATCGAGGCGAAAGTGTTCGGGATCTATTGAGAGCATTGCGAAACAAGGTATCATTTTGCGTACGAGAAAAGATCGTTTTATTTTCGAATATATCAATAATTAACGGTTGTCTTTTTTGTAGAAACATCACTACAGAGAACTGAGTCCACAGGCGCAAGAAAGCCTCGGAGATATTCCCGACAAGTTCACCGATTACTGGCTTTCTAGATTTCCTTGCTTACTTTCGCACGTTTGGTGCGCGATGCAAGCATTCAGAGAGGAATCAACGCTGAGGGATTATTACCACGTTGATTATGCGTTCGTGACTACTTGCAGTTCAGAGTCGAGAGGAAGAATTAATAGCATACGTTGTACCACCGATACGTTATCACAAACATCCTGGAGAGTCCGCGATAGTATCGACTGGAGTCCTAACAGAACACGTTATCGTGGTCAACGGAGGAAACAAGAGAAGAAAAAGACGAACGTACCAATTACGTGGACTTTGCCATCGAGCTAGTGATCGATAAAGTCGTCGATTCGAATCAACGCATCGCATTAACTCATACGTTGCGCTATTGTACGGTTGAAGCAAACTAATTTGTTTCTTTCAATCATACGACATGAGTCATTGTGTGTGTGCGTTCGGACACTAATATCGTATGTGCTCTTTTAATAAAGGAACTGTCATATGAACAGGTGCAAATATTTGTAAATATAACAGAGATACTAACGACGAACGAATGTTTGTAAACGAAAAATTACCGTGATAATAAAAATAATTATGATAATAATAGAACAAATATATTTAATGGAAATTCGATCAACGTGTATGCTCGATGAAACGAGGCATATTTATAATACGATACATTGTACGATTTAAACAGAAATAGATAAATTTATCTTTTATACGTAATTTGTACAATCGCAGTAATTGTACGCAGTAATTGTACCATTAGAATCCTAACTAGAAAGAATCGCTCACAACTTTTACACGCAAATTACACGGTTCATAAACCGATACATACGCTTACAAACGAAAGCATCCGTTATATTCGGAAAAACAAGAAAAAAAATGGATGTAAGCATATATATCAGTTCTGACTGTATGGATCTAATAGACGGACAATGTAACGTAAACGTAAGAATATTTTCAGGTACATTGAAATTCGTTCGCGAGAACACGTCGATGTAACGTCAATGTAGGGTGCGTTTCATTCTCGCTCTGCAGCGTGTTTTTCCGACAAAGCTAGTTTCTTACTCGCCGTATAGAGATCCTCGTTTTTGGAGAACGCGACGAGAATTCGGACTAGATGGTAAAAAGGAGAGCGTTTAACCTTCGATAAATTAGCCGTTCGGAGAATAAGTTTACATAAAACATAAAGTTATTAGCTCCTATATAAAAATGGACGAGTCAAACGTAGGAGAGCCACTTGTTCCGTTTCAATTGAACAAGCCATTCGAATCATACTTCCGATAAAATGATCTGAATGCAAATATAATAGATGTGGATGAATGACCGAAGAAAACTGATTCGTGTTACGATCAGACTTCAACTGTTCACGGCATAGTTTTCTCCATGTTTTCCCCCTTCTCTTTCTCCGCTTTCGACCGCTTTTCCATTCTTTCCTGCCTGACGAAGTCCGGATTGTTCCAATACTGAACCTCCCCGCTCGCATAAAGCACAAATACCAAATTAGTCACTACGAACACGACGAATACGATCCAAAACACCAGTCTCCACTCGAGGAGAGACTCGTTCGGTGCCAATACACCGACGAGGTACGGCGTGATGATACCAGTGAAGGCGCCTATTCCGTTAACGAGCGCCATCAACGTTCCAGAGTAATTAGGGCTGAGATCCAAAGCGTTAACCTTCATTCCCGGATAAAAGGTGCCTAAACAAAAAAGCAATATCAATCGATGATCAACAGAACCTAATCGTCTAAAAACCTATTACGTACCCATTAGCGTGGTACCAATAGTGAACATCACTACCACAACCGTCCTATCGCATTCCGCGTAAGAGGCTCCGATAATAAACGCTCCAGGTCCAACGGACGCAATGGTCGTTCCCAGTTTGCGCACGTTGGTTCGCGACATGACCCCAGTCCTGATCATCCAGTCCGCCAAATAGGAGGTAATAATACTACAAATCCACATGGTCAAATACGGCAAAGCGGATAGCAGCCCATTGTTCTTGATGGGGTACTTGAGTACATTACTCATGTACTTGGGTAAATCAGTGACCAAAGTGAAGAAGCCCCAATCGTGCCCAACCTGCGCAGCTATCAGTGCCCACAGCGGCACCGATTTCAGCAAATGCCTCCACGGTACCGGAGGCGGTTTCTTATGCGTATGCGCCTGCATCCTTTCATGCAGGAAGTCGATCTCCCTCTGGGAAATAAACGGATGGCTGTCGGGGCTGTTGTAGCAAGTGACCACCCATATGAGGAACCAGATTACTCCAACAATACCGAACACATAGAACACGGCTGGCCAGTTGAAGTAGTGAATGATGATACCGGACAACGAGTTGGCGAACACGGTGCCCAGCTGAGCGCCCGCGAATACCAACGAGCCGATCACGGATCTCTCCTCCGGAGGAGTCCATTGAGCCAACAGCGCGTTCAAAGCTGGGAAAGTAGTGCCTTCGCAGAGACCCATTAAGACTCGTACGATGATCAGACCCGTTGAGTCCCCGTGTTCCACCACGACTGGTGTGATTAATGTGAAGAAGGCGGTCGCCAGGATTCCCAGACCTAACGAATATTTTCCTCCGAATCGCTCTGACAGCATTCCTCCGGGCAGATGCGTGATCACGTAGCCCCAGTAGAAGGATGACAAGATCAAACCCTGTATAAAGAAACTACTGATGATTTTTGAAACGGAAGGAAGAGGGATGGATAGTACCTGCGTCATTTGGTCCCAGTCGTATCGCTGCGACGGATGCGTTACGGTGGAATTGCTTTGATGTTGTTCCATGTCGTCGCAAGTATGGTCATCGTGTTCCGCAGGTTCCGCATGCGGGATGACCATCTCGGTGATCGTGATCGAAAGGCAGACTCTCATCGCGTAGGCGTTGAAGAGCGCCAGAAATCCCATTATCGCGAATATCCATCGTTGCGGTACTCTTCCACCTGTAAACATAAGTAGCACCGATAAATAATGGACTCACGATACGGCAAAGAAAGCCCGAGGTCAACGGCGCGGAAGGAATTACGATTAGTAGAGCCTTTCCCTATTGGCAGCTGTCTAACGAGCCGTACCTATCTAGGTAAAGGTCAGATTCCTTGCACGTATCATTGACTCGGCTATCAGCACAATTTCGATTTCGACTCGTCGACAACTTTGTTAGGATGGTGGGAATTTCGGGTGGAGACCTTGAATTCTAAAGGAAGGTCGCGGGGAATCCTCGGTAATTCGTGATTCGATTGCAAGCTAGTCATCCGAGAACGGAAGGAAGTGTTTCGTAATCGACCGCAACATTTTTTCGAGTCGTCTTACGAACCAAGTTTAACGACAGAGAAAATAGAAAAAAAGACGCTATCGAAGCATCTTGCAAGGATAAAAACGGTACCGTAACAATTCCGCGTTACAAAAGATTCAGCGATAAATTAATCTCTTGCATCGGTAATGAAATTACGGATCATGGAAATTCGCGCGATCGAGTGAAGGAAAATCCGCGCTCGAATAGAGGTCGAAACTAAACCTTCGTTCGGTAAAAAAGAAAAACAAAAAACGTAAGAAAAAAGATCGCGCATTAATTCCCGATAAAACCGAAAGAGATAAATTAAAATGAACGGCAAACATTTTCAGTTTTTAAGATCGATCTATTGATCCATCAATCAACGATAAACCCATCAATATTCTTCTCGATCGGATTAAACAAAATGACATTAAGCTCAACACCAACGAGTTTATCTTATCTGACGATGAGCGAGAAACCCAAACATAAGAAGCCGAAAACTACCAACAATGCTGATTATATCGACGCGTCGTTTGCTGATTTGTCGCGACGATAACGAGGAAGCGTCAGTGGCTTGCTCCACTTCTGTATCACACTTATAAACCTTAATTGCTGTAATCCTCTCTCGAAGCCAGTTATTTTCCCAGTTCATATTCGCTTATGATGCGACAGGTACTGACGTAAAACAATCAATTTCGCGCGTGTCATCGCCGAGCCTCTTTCGAATTTGCGTCGCGTTTCGCGGGCCTTTCCTTTAAAATATTCGTAATAAAACCTATCGATATCCTTCTGAACCGTGAAGGTATGAAGGCTGTTTTTTTCAATTCGTTAACCGACAGTTTTTTCTTACTGCATCAATAATGACGAATATCACCGAAATTACCGAGCTAAATCAATAGTCTGTTATTGCGGTAAAATATTTCTCATCTTACTATATGTGGTTTAAGAATTAAGTTCATATTTTACCGTTTATACATCAGATTTACAATTGCGGTTAAACGAAGTTAAAGTCGCACTTATTTTACTAACATCGCTCGCATTGAGTGCATAATTACTTTCCCATTGTCATTAGAAAACAATTCAGTTATGCTTGAACTCCAACCAACTGTTTGTAGCAATTAAATAATTTGTTACTGTGTACATTATCGATTTTTAAAACGGTTGTTTGAGTTTCTTTGTAATTAGATACAAAACGTCTCGAGGAATTTACTCCGTTTTCATAATTGCCGGCGTATGTGTACAAGGTGTTTCATAACACGTCGAGGAAAAAAACAGGGCCAGATTTAGGTGTCGGCCTTGTTTCGAAATTATCGTCGCCTTCGTTTCAATAATCCTTATCTTCATAGAAGGTGTTTGAAATGACCACCTTCAATTTATATACAAGCTTATCAATTTCGTAATCATTCAAAAATTCCAACTACGCGCAGAATCTGTTGACAGGTTCGTTACGTAGGTGCAAGTTATTCGACGTTAGCTACACGATAGTTAAATGACCCAAAGTTACCTCAAAGTGAAAATTATGAAAAAATTTTTCCTTCAGAAACTGCAAGTAATAAAATAGTTTACCGTCCTTCTCTTAGGACCAAACGCGTAAACTCAATCAACAGATCCTCTTCACTTTATGAAGCTTCCTGTACGTCACTTTTCACTGCAACTCACAGTTAAAGAACTAAAGTATGCTAAAAAAGACGATAACAATTATAAATATGTATATCGAAAAAGTTCAAGCAATTAAATACTGAGTCGCGGAATAGTGAACGTATGCTTTTCAAATTGCACGTAGCGAGCAAAAAAGTAAATGTATCGACGAGCACAGGTGGTACTTACAACATGTTCTCCAAAGGGACAACATAGCGGCGACGTTGTTCACGTTCCTTCACGATCGGCCGTCGCGAACCGAAGTAGACGTATTAGAACGACCGGAAGTAGAAGGTGAAGAGAAAAAGAACAGCTTGCACAGTTCTCATTCGAGTAAACGGAACACTTTTCAACTGTATGTTAGCGAAGGGGAAAAAGAAAATGTGCCGCGAAACTCACAAGAATCTATAGATCAAGAGTTTGCATGTATCTTGGCCGCATGTTGAGAGTAACTGAATCGATCCTCTCCGCGCGAATTCGTTTTATACTGGTGGAACACGTGCTCCTCAATAAACGCGAAAAGGGAAAGGAATTGTGGATAAAAGGCCACGCGAACTGGTAAAAGTTGATATGGACAAGGCATAACCGATAAATAAAAGGTAGAGGGGGTCATAAGAGAAGCAGGAGGAGGAGGAGGAGCAGGAGGAGGAGAAGGAACGATAACGCGATCTGCTACGTACTAATTTTCGATACTTTGTACTCCGTGTTATCTGTAATGAAGGGAATCTAATACAAGGTATTAGAAGCGGAAAAAATAAGGGATCAGATACACGGTTTCTTGGAGGACGCAGATAAGTTTCCTCTGATGCATCGACCTTTATCTTTTATTTCGTAAATCCGTTTTGTTCACCACGTTCATCTTTAATATCTATTTAATCCTTGCACACAGTTTGCCAGGAAATTAAGCATTAATAAAGATGTTGGTAATCTATAAAGTCGGAGGCTTAAATCGATAAGCAGATAAAGAATGTGATCCTTACGAGGTAGTTAAACGAACGCGACGTAAAGTAAATAAAGTCACCCGTCACATTTCTTCGTATTTTTACCGCGTATGCATACCGTTTATGGATTTTATTTTCGTACGAAAATCGAGGTGATAGCGGTCCTCCGGCGATCACTCTAGCCGAAATCAAACGAGCGTAGGACATCAGCTGCAAGATTATTCGAACTGTTAACAACCAACACATTTTCAGAATAGAAACTCGAATACCTTTTTGAATAATCCACCTGTTTCTAATCACTTTACGTTTTATCATTATTATCCATGAAGATAGCGATACAACAATAGTACAAGTACATAAAATTATGCGGTCGTATTTCTCGGTATGGCATCAAAGATAACAAACCACTCATCTTTTTGTGTCATGCTATCAAACGTTTTTTCCTGACAAAATTAAATAAATTGGATGAGAATGCATTGTTTTACAATCTAGTCATCCTTACATTGATCCTAGATATCTTAATCTAACTATTAAAGAGAAATAGAGAGTGATATTGTTAATAAAGAAACAGCCATTCTATCAAAAAATGCAACATTTATTGAATAAAAAAATAGATAAAACTTACGGATGAATATAAAAAGTAGAAAATCAGTTTTTGGTGAATTTCTAGAATATAAATTGACTCTAGCTTTTAATATTCCTTTTTAGCTCCCTGTAGATATAAGGTATTTCCCCTACCAATTTGGAGCTTTCTTCTTTCGCCTTAGTTAAAGCTCGATCCAATTCATTATTCTATAAGATATACAGACATTTTAAAATATTTTCTAAGACCTTTTTGTATCCAAGCAAACAAAGCAAGTACTTACGCATTCCTTCACTATGTACTTTTTAAATAAATTGAACAAATCTTGTACAGTCCATGAAGCTTCATCAGGTTTTCCTAATTTTATAAATGGACACTCAGGCTGATGCTTCAGGTGTTCGTTCCTATAAGCAGTTAATGGTAGATGCAAACAAAATATCAAATTACACCAGCGAAAACATGAAACAATTAAATGATGGATAATCACTCGTACCAAGGATCGTCGTCGGAATTCCAACCGTCCAATTGTTTGGAACAAATGAAACATTCAGCTAGGTCAGGTTCCTCTTTATTGCCTATAAAGACGAATCCAGCAGAAGCCATTTGTTCAGGATTACATGGTTCATCGATAGATTGAAACGGCCAATCTTCGAACGTTTTTAATCGACTAGCTCTCCAAAACGTCGAGTTTAATTCTCTGAGATAGAGACACGAAAATATATTTCTAATTTACCCGTATTAAGGTTATGATAAACATCTGGCAAGCGAGATGCGATAACGGCGAATGATCACAGAATAATGAATGATAACGTAAACAGTTACTTACGGTAATAAATCCATGATTGCCGGATAAAGAAATTTGAAAGTTTGACGGGCTAATACCTTTAATATTTGACAAAAATTGAAACACCGCTAACTGATAATCGCGTCTGTTATTTACTGAATTTTCCGTCCCGCGCAAACTTGAGTGTCGCTGCTGCGATCTGTACTTCTCATTTGAAACTATTCTTTAGTGATGCTGCCCTAGATGTTTTGAAATTAAAAAGAATTTTTTGTATGAATTTAATATGTAATGAATGTTCTACGTTAGGTGGTAAAAATCTTCTATTTATAATCGTTACATATGCATACAAAATATTCGACTTGTCACTAATTTAATTCTGTAACGAGTATTCGATTCGTGATGGTAAATTTAAATTTGTCTTTTCGCGCTCTATTTTTTAATAGCATGACGCACCACTAGGTATCGCATTTTTATTTACTGACGGAATCGTAAGTCATTTCCATAGTAACGGAAAAATACGATTTCAAATTTCCTCACTTTCCTCCTGTTTGATTTTCCTGTTAACTGGAAGCAATTACTTAAGTGTCATGTAAGTATATATACTTTGTTACCTTTAACAATATACACGTATGTAAATATGTACATGAAAAATATCGTTAATTGTGCTTTGTAATTACCATGACAACATAACTGCTGTTTTGTCAAGGGTTTAATGCGTTCGCGATCAGTTTACCCCATAGAATAAACCCAATAAGAATATAATAGCATCATCGACTGTTTCATTATGGACGAGCTTGAAATATTTAGCGTAATAGCATTCGATGGTTAGTATGATATTACAAAATATGATTTTAATGTTTTAAAGAAGAATTTAATCGCCCGCAACGTACACGGTAACAATAAATTATACTTTGTTACGTAAGCAGAATACCTTTTAAAGTTGTCAGTGCTTGGCAATGATTTATAAGCAGTTTTTATCGAGTGTGAATAGTTTTGATTTCGTGACGTAACATTTCGTTGTAAATTTCATTAAATTAGAACGTAATAACACGTTACGTAGACATGACACCGACAAAGAAATAAAAAACATGTGCAGTAAGCTCGGTTCAGCGAAAAGCTTGCGAGTTTACTAAACAGACAAATTTTATGTTTGGCGAAACATTTACGAGAACGTAAATCTTTCGTTGAATAGGCAGAAATATTACGAATTGACCAAAACAAAAAATTGAAAATTATATTTTTTCAGGAATAACACGGAACGCTTTAGGAGTACATCCGGACGAAGAACATCTTCTTTATCCGATGGGCAACAAGGTCACCATAAAGAACGCGAAAACAGGCGAGCAATTCTTCCTTGCAGGACATACAAATTTTGTGTCCGCCATGTGCATTTCGCCCAAAGGAAATTTTGTAGCTTCCGGTCAAGTTAATCATTATGGTTTCAAGGTCATTTATTCGATTAAATTCGGTTTTTGGTTAAAAATAAATATATTAATATCAATATTTATTAATATTTATTAATAAATAAATTTGGTTAAATTTAAATTGATGTCTTGTTGCAGGCAATGGTGATCATCTGGGATTTCGCGACACGTAAAATCAAGTCCAAGTACGAAATGCACAAAGTTAGAGTCGAGGACGTGTGTTTTACGAGCGACGAACAGTATCTAATTAGTCTGGGAGGCATGGACGACGGATGTGTCGTGGTGTGGGATGTCCAAACCGAGACCCCAATTTGTGGTATTACTCCTCCCTCTAATACAATTATTTTTTCCTTTTGTTTCTACCGAAAGTTATTTGCAGGCACGTTCGCAGGCAGCGAAATATTCGGAAACGCCACAATAATCGCGCGAACAAATATTTCTGGTCGGCACTTCATCACTGCCGGCGACAGGACGATGAAAGTATGGAGCATAGACGACAAAAATCGGAAAGTACAAGGAATCGATGTGAAAATCGGTAAACTCAAACGGACTATCAACTGCGCCGTCGTAGACGAAAACGATGAATTTGTTTACTGCGGTACGACGTCCGGCGACATCATCAAAGCAAGGTTAATACTTTTGTCCTTTCCAGTAAAATCGCTAGTCGTTAATTGTGATTGCTACGTAGATTGAATATTCAAGAACCGGGTAAATTCTCGGCGATGATCGGATGCTACTCAAAGGTACCGAAGTGTACGAAAAGCGAGAGAGAAGTATTCTTTGGCGGAGTGAGAAATTTGTTGTTCTTGCCGAACAAGAAGCTGATAGTCGGTGCTGGCGATGGAACGGTCGAATGGATCGAGATAACGGAACATCCGAGCCCTGTCAAAGGCAAATCGAAGAAAAACTTGATGGTTACACCGTGCATAGTAACGGTAAGTGATACGATACGATGCTAAAGCACAGCAGAAGTAATTAACTTTCCCGACAGCGTCGTAGCGCGGATGTGTGCGCCGCGGTAACATCGTTGGTCCATTACAAAAACGGTCTCATACTGGTGGGGACTGCGCTGTGCGAGATTCACGAAATCGAACTGTCAAGCTTCCGAACGCGTCTAATCGCCACCTGCCACACTCATGCTATTCAGGCTGTGGTATTTCCTCGGTAAATAGAACGCTACAACTGTTTTGATAGGTGATCAACCCTTTGGCTACCTTTTTGAACAGAGCTACAGTATTCTCTCCGTAAATGTTAAAAAGATCTCTACCGTAAATATTACAATTTTATCCCCACTGCCAGGGGGATCCCCCTCGAAATCAGTCAAGAATGAAACACGATCAGTCGCCGAACGACGAGGATCGAATATCGGTGTGACACATACTAATGCAAGCAAAGGAAAAGATTGCAATTTTCTTATTTCTTACTATTTTTTTATGAAACTTTTACTGTCGTATTTGTCTAGTTTTTCTGATTAAAATGACACCAAACATGATATAATTACGTTAACAATTCCGTGTGTAACGAGTGATTAAAGTTTTTAACATAAAAGAGGACGGCGAATGGAAAAGAAAGAGAGTATACGACCGGTGTATACATATACGTATGTATAGTGATCGGTGTATGTATAGTTACATATATCCGCGCATACCTTGTCACTCATCGCACGTTCCTAATTTGATACGATGTAATCGTTACCAATTTGCATAAAAGACGCGGATAAAAATGACCAGGAACGATGCAATCATTGCCGTTGTCACAGGTATTTATGTCAGTGCAATAACTTTGTGAGATTGCGTCGCGCTAGAGTGAAACAGCAGTAGCTAAAGGGTTCATGAGAGTAAAAGAGGAAATCTCTGACGTATTTGCATTTTTAGTAATTGTTCGGAGATATTTGCGACGGCTGGAAAAAATGACATACGAATATGGAAACTGGCAACGCCGAAGGAATTGCTTCGAATCACCGTACCGAATTTCTCTTGCTCCAGCCTCTGTTTCGATATTACTGGCGGTTCCATAATATCTGGTAAGTGTTAATCGACGCATTCGAATTATGATCGCATGAATATGTCGTTTTTGTCGGAAGCGTGGAACGATGGCACCATACGAGGATTCGCTACGAATAGCGGTCAACTTGTGTTTGCGATTAATTGCGCGCACACGAAACCGGTGACGGTAATTACGATTACCAACGATGGCTGTAAACTGATCAGCGGTGGTTGCGACGGACAGGTAAACCTCGTATTTTCAATCAACGTTTCATTGTTTTCAACTTCGTCAACGTTCATTCAGATACGTCTGTGGCACGCAAAAACCGAAGCGCGACATTTATTGAATGTCATGAAGGAACATAGAGGTCCGATAACGTCGCTGGAGGTTTCACCCGACAACGAAAGTTTTATCAGCTCCAGCTTGGATGGAACCTGCGTTATGTGGAATCTAAGGTAATGAAAATATATACAGTTCGTTTTTGAAGGAAAGAAATATCGGTATGACGTTCGACTTTGTCCTTTAGAACTCTCGAGCGCAAGTTCACACTGAGAGGAGATACGATGTATGCGGCGACGTGTTTCGTTCCCGATGGTACGCAAGTTCTGACATGTGGCTCGGACCGAAACATAGCTTACTGGGAGACCCTGGATGGCTCGATGGTTCGTCAAATCGAAGGTTCAACAACTGGTACGTTAAACACTATAAGTATCAGTCCTGATGGACAGTATTTACTCACCGGATCGGACGATTGCATCCTGAAATTTTGGGACTATCGTACCGCAAATGTCCTCCGTGTGGGCCTCGCTCACGCTGCCGCCATCACCGGTGGCGCTTTTGCTCCATCCGGAAAATTTATCGTAACAATAAGCGCAGACGGTGCTATAATCATTTGGAAATACCCTTTCGAAACGTCAGTATCGAGCGATGATAGTGATCGCAAGTCAGATTGCAAAACAGATGCGAAAGTTACATCATAAATATTGGTATTATAAATTTAATATAATCGAACAAGGAACAAAGTTAAGGAAAATTCTGACCGCAACTGGTATTGCATTAATAATACATTTCGTAACCAAATGGAAACCTCAAATTGGAAAATGAAACCATTACGGTTTCATTGCTTCTGCGTGTATTAATCATGTTTTACATATTCTATGCGTGAATTTATATGTAAATGGATTGATGCATATTCTGTGGTCTGTAATGCGTGTGACGATCTTGACACTGAAAGCGATACATCCAATCATGCAGAAATTTTGTGATGACTAACTCTTATCATTATACGCGGTATTCTGCAATAGTAGTTGTCGCTCATTAATTTTTTATATGGTGTATTAAATTTGTAATGGAGTATATGTGTAATTTCGTTCAGAAATAGATAATGCAAATTTGCGCCTAGCATTGCTTTGTCAATTGCTCGCCTGATGGCGCCACTAGATAAACATTTAAATTTATAAATTCCATAAATTGTATTCCTATTTATCTTAATTAGATTTAAGATAGATTTCTGTGCTTTTTATGTTCAAATGGCATTAAATTAAAATTAAGAACTGTGTGTATATGATGGAACTGTTATATTTTAGAAGTTTGGTGTAATTCAAATGGATGGCTACTGGAATTAATTTAAGCATAGGAATCTGAAATTAATCTTGTAAACAATGAAATTATTTGGTATAATATACATATGTATAATATACATATATTGTATAATAGAATACTGTTATATGTAGAAGAACTGTGAGTGCCATATAACGAGACTGTGATCAAATAATCTTGTGATTATCTGGTACAGTACAATATACATATATTGTATAATTAAATATTGTTATATGGTCCTGAGACTGTCGAAGAACTGTGAGTGCCATATAACGAAACAGTCATCAAATAACCTTGTGAAGTCATTGTCACAATGAGTGCCATATAACGAGACTATCATCAAATAATCTTGTGAAGTCATTGTCACAATGAGGACAGGAAAAGAATTCTGTTTTTAAAGGAGATCTTCAAATGAAGTCCAATTGACAGATCAAACAAAATTTTATTGGTGAACGTGAATACGCTTTATTTCGGTCATGGAAAAGAGCAATTACAATTAATTCTCGTGTTCACTTATGTGTATAAAGTAGATGTCTTTTATTAGAACGCGTGGGCAACTGCTTATACTGAACAAGCAAAAGGCGAAGGAACTTTCAACCAAACACTTCCGTGTAAATCATTCTTCAAATCAACGCTTGCTAATCGATTTACTGATAAACCTTTTTGTAAAACTTTTCGCAACAATGCGTGCATTCTCCCGGATAAGAATTAATTCTAAGGAAATTTTTATTACTACCGGAGATTAGATACGAACATAGCAGAACAATTGCCGAGCAGCAAACGTTGATTCATAATCTCAAGAAACAAAGGGAAACAAACTGACAATCACAAATTGTTCAACGCATCGTTCAAGTTTACAGATAAAATACGCAGCGGTAAAGGTTTTACGGAATCGTAAACAATAAATATACTAGAGATTATCAGAAACACTGTAGTATAATTTGAAAGTGCAAGTTTCCAAATATTGTGGACACTGGATCATAGGATCTAACATTCATTTTATATTCCATTTGTACCATTTCGTTACATAAAAATGGACGAAATATTTTCGTGGCGATTACTTTGATCGACTGAACTTCGTTCAATGACTAGATAACGACTAGAATCGCAGTGTAGTACGTCAAGGAAATATTCTTGTCCTACATACAATCCACCTCGCACCCCCTAATTTCTTCGTGGAAATTGCAAAACTTTAGTAGATTAAATTCTTCGGTATAATAAAATAGATTTTTAATTTCACTTATTGCACAGAGAATTCGTGCTCGTTGAACACGATCTTTGATGAACACTAATCTTTGAAATTTGTATTATACGTTTAGGTACAAACGTTTAAACCCTTGCCGTACAACTTATTTGTCAGATGCGTCAGTCAAAACTAACTATTCATAGATATAATTTTTAAACAAACAATAAAAATTAATATGTTGTGAATATTTTATAATCAGGGATCATCGATCAGTCTAAACTAGATATTCATAAGTATAACGCTTAAATAAACAATAAAGATCAAAATGTTATGAATATTTTATATTCAGCGATCTTTGATAATGCAAATTATAGTTGGATATACGTAAATTTTAAGTTGAGGAGCATTAAAAATTTGAGTAAGATTTATTATATTTGAGCTGTGAGTGCGTCACGAGAGAGATTTGTCAAAGTACGACAAGGGGTTAATATGTAAGATACGATATAATATGTATAATATACGATTTGTATACTATATGTATTGTTGTTTCATGTGTATTTCAAAATACAGTACATGTTGCTATAGCGCAATGGCTGAATCTTTGAGGTGGACCAGATCCGAGAGAGAGTTTGAAATTTTGGATCTGGGTTAGTTGAGGATTAAGAAATTTGGAAATTTAGAGATATGGAAATTTGATATATGGAAATTTGGAAATATGGAAATTTGGAAAAATGGAAATTTGGAAATATGGAAATATGGAAATATGGAAATATGGAAATATGGAAAATTTGGAAATGTGGAAAATTGGAAATTTGGAAAATTTGGAAAATTGGGAAAATTTGGAAAATTTGGAAAATTTGGAAATGTGGAAAATTGGAAATTTGGATATATGGAAATTTGGAAAATTGAAAAATTGGAATTATGGAAATTTGGAAATGTGGAAAATTGGAAAATGGGAAATTTGGAAATGTGGAAAATTGGAAAATGGAAATATGAAAACTTGGAAAATTGGAAAATTGGAAATTTGAAAATTTGAAAATCTGAAAATCAGAAAATCAGAAAATCTGAAAATCTGAAAATCTAAAAATCTGAAAATCTGAAAATTGGAAAATCTGAAAATCTGAAAATCTGAAAATCTAAAAATCTGAAAATCTGAAAATCTGAAAACCTAAAAATCTAAAAATCTAAAAATCTAAAAATCTAAAAATCTGAAAATACAGAGATTTTCAATTCAGAAATTTAGAAATGAAATTGATTTCTGGTCCACTCCTACGCTCCTGTATCTCGGTTCTCTAGTAATAGAATAGTTTAGAAAAATATACGACTTTGCGTAGAAAAATAATTACGAATCCAAGCTACTCCAATTGTACACAACTTAATTTCCATCAGCAGAAAGATTTCCTCAATAATAGTGGTCCCGTGAGAGTGTCTTAGTTTTTAACATTCAAAGCAGTAGAAAAATAGCATGTATTTATCGTATGTTAAATTCGAATAATCTTTCTATTCTAATTTTCGAGACAATTTTGAAATCTCTCTGCGGGGGGTGGGGCGAGGACCAGAGAACACAGTACATTTATGTTCGACGATTTTAGAAACAAAGTATCGCTTAAAGTTTCATCTGTACGATTCGGTAATTAATTTCATTCATTTTGACTGACTGACTCCTTGTGTCTGACCCATGACGTTCAAACGATGACCTATGACTTTTAATTTCAAGTTTCATTGATTTTAAATGTAAAATGTCCTTCGTTATACTAAAATGTCTTATATCAATTAAATCGAAAGATTTGTACGTGCACATCTTTTCATAGGAACATCATTAGAGGTTTAAAAATATGAAATTCTTTATGTCAGTGTCAAAAGTAAAATACTTTCGTTATCTTCAGCTCTTTTTCATATCATACTAATTTATCAAAAGCGTGAACGAATTTTGTTTCAGTTTTTTAATCGTGAATTTCCATATCCGACTGTATTCATAGATTTGACACAAGAGAGAAGTTTCATCTCTAATCGATTTTCAACGCTTTCAAGAATTTTTTACGAACTGTACCCGTACAAATGTCTCCCGCGTTCTTTACCGTACGATTCATGCGCACGGTTGAGTGCTGCTTTAGGCTTAGGAAATGTAGGGAGAGTATCACTATTCATGTCATTTGTCTTCTTTGCATATTACAAGTATTTTGAGGTATGAGAATTTTGGAGATTTGGAGCTTTGTAGTTTTAAAGCAGAATTTAGAGTTTTTAGTTCTTGCAATTTCTGCACTTTGAAAAATAAGGATTGTGAGACTTAAGGCTCTTCGAAGTTTGGGACCCTCGAAGTTGGGATTTTACTCAGAAATTTTGGGAGAGACTTGTTAAAATTTGTGGACTATAGATTTTCAGGATTTTAGGTTTTTAGAATTTATTTTATAACACAGGAACTTTGAGATGTTGGAAATTTTGAATTTCAGAATTTTGAGACATTGAAATTACTGAAGTGCTGAAACTTCAAACTTTGAAACAAAGAATATTTGAACATAAAATATTTATAACTTTGAAATTACAGGACTCATGGATTTATGCAAGGACTCACAGAAATTCAGAATATTTTAACATAAAATATTTACAACTTTGAAATTGCAAGACTTATGCTTTTATGGAAGGACTCACAGAAATTCAGAATATTTTAACATAAAATATTTACAACTTTGAAATTGCAGGACTTATGGTTTCATGGAAGGACTCACAAAAATTCAGAATATTTTAACATAAAATATTTATAACTTTGAAATTGCAGAACTTATGGATTTATGGAGGGACTCACAGAAATTTGATGTATCCAAATAATGGATTTCGAAATTTTATGACACTCTAATTATTGGAGCTGCAAAAAATCTTGTAATTATTTGAAAGCTCCTCCAATAAAAATTTGAGGAATCGGAACTCCCCCTACACTTACGTCGCCATACCGATATCGCACCGGATTGTATACGTCTTTTATTATCGTCGATGCATGCGTGACTCAGGACGAGAAATTTGCATTGGTGCACGCGACGACATTCCTCAGGCAATCTGAGAAAGAAAGCAGAATAAATTCAACGACCGATAATCGTGGGTTCATCGGCCATTGCGATCTCTTCTGTCGGCGCCTTGTCCCTCTTCCTTTTTCTGGAGAACACTATAAACGCGCATCCGGCCAGTAAGTTGCAGAGGAACACGATCCAGGCGAGAATCAAAGAGAAGTTGTACCTCATTACTGCACCCGTTGGGAACGTTGCGCTTACGTTTTTGCTTTCGTATTCGATTGAGGATAATAGGACTTGGATCACCACCATGTTGCAAGCCCCTGCACATTAATAAAAATAATTACTCTGTGATCTGAGAATGATTATTCTATGTATTACTGTTACTCTTCCAAAATGGTCAATATTTATAGAAACTGTTGTAGTATGAACTACAGTTATATCATGAATGCTGTTTAAAAATGATCTTCAATATATGTTATACATGTACAGAAACCATTGTGCTATGTGCAATAATTATATCATAGATGTTATTCAAAAATGGTCTTCGACAAGTTCTACATTTATAGAAACCATTATACTGCAAACTACTATTATATCATGGATGTTGCTCAAAAATGGTCTTCAATAAGCTCTACATTTATAGAAATCATTATACTATGTACTACAATTATATCATGGATGCTGTTCATAAATGGTCTTCGACAAGTTTTACATTTATAGAAACCATTATACTGCAAACTACTATTATATCATGGATGTTGCTAAAAAATGGTCTTCAATAAGCTCTACATTTATAGAAACCATTATACTATGTACTAGAATTATATCATGGATGCTGTTCATAAATGGTCTTCAACATATGCTTTATAAGTGTGGAAACCATTATGCTACGTACTACAATTATATCATGGATGTTGTTCAAAAATGGTCTTCGACAAGTTCTACATTTATAGAAACCATTATACTGCGAACTACTATTATATCATGGATGTTGCTAAAAAATGGTCTTCAATAAGCTCTACATTTATAGAAACCATTATACTGCGAACTACTATTATATCATGGATGTTGCTCAAAAATGGTCTTCAATAAGCTCTACATTTATAGAAACCATTATACTGCGAACTACTATTATATCATGGATGTTGCTCAAAAATGGTCTTCAATAAGCTCTACATTTATAGAAACCATTATACTGCGAACTACTATTATATCATGGATGTTGCTCAAAAATGGTCTTCAATAAGCTCTACATTTATAGAAACCATTATACTGCGAACTACTATTATATCATGGATGTTGCTCAAAAATGGTCTTCAATAAGCTCTACATTTATAGAAACCATTATACTGCGAACTACTATTATATCATGGATGTTGCTCAAAAATGGTCTTCAATAAGTTTTACATTTATAGAAACCATTGTACTATGTACTAGAATTATATCATGGATGCTGTTCATAAATGGTCTTCAACATATGCTTTATATGTGTGGAAACCATTATGCTACGTACTACAATTATATCATGGATGTTGTTCAAAAATGGTCTTCGACAAGTACTACATTTATAAAAAACATAATCAACAACATGAAGTTTAACCAAAATCTCCAAATATGAATAAAACTCTATTTTTACAGATTTATTGATGCCAAAAAGAAGGCATTTTGTACAAAGACATTGGGTCATGGATAAAAAACTTCAACTAAAATTGGAAAAATTTATCATCAAATTGTATGCAAAAGTTTGTTGATACTTCATTTGAAAAAAGTTTGTTGATAATTCATTTGAAGAAAGTTTGTTGATAGTCATTTGTTGATACTTCAGAATCTTGGACTTCAGCTACCACAAAAGATTATTAAAAGATATGAAATTGATAATTTCGCAGTCATCTTAAGATCTCGTCTAGAAGCAATCCTTGAAGTGCTTATCTTTTATCACAGTGATTTACAGAGTTACGATTACTGTGTAAATGAATTACCGCTGATAAAGTGTATTCCTCCTGCCAGTCGCTTGAACATATACCGTGGGTTGCGGAACGTGTAGATCGAGAAGCAAAAGCCCATTATCATCACGAACAAGCTGATTATTGCGAAAGACACCTGCGTCCTAGAATAATCTAAAAGTATCGCACTTCAGAAACGTCGGAATTATGAATTGTAATTGTGAGAATATTCTTGCTCAAAGGATGTTCGATGACCTTGATACATAATTCAAAAGCGATCGAAGGATTCTCAAGGAATTTTACGGCGCTTTTTACTTACTGACGACGTTTTTGTCTAATCCAGGGTCCAAATCGATTTGTCTATCAGTCGGGAACATGTCCAGATTCTTGCACACCTCTGAAAGAACAG